GTTTTTGAGTATATTGGTTGATGGCGAATAAAAAAAAATCATCACAATTGAGATAGGGCGGGTGGTCGGGCTTATATTTTGCCTTTTTGTTTTAATATGTGTACAATAGACTTCTTTTCACAACATGAAACTTAAAACATGTTTAAAACCGAAAATTTGTATAAGGAAATATCGATTTTGCAATTATGCACCGCCCCATAATTGCAAAATCCATATTTCCTTGCAAAAATGTAGTAACTATGTTCTAAGTTTTTTGTTGTGAAAAGATGGCTATGTATAATATGAAAAAAAAAGGCAAAATATAGGCCCCGCCCACCCGCCCTATCTCAATTCTGATGATTCTTTTTATTCGTCGTAAGCCGAGGGGCAGAACTTAATTGTAAAATCCGTATTTTTCTACGAGGAATTACCGTGTATGTTCTTAAGTAAACGTGTTATACAAAGAAAACCAAATGTATTAATTAAAAAAGAAAATCAAAAGAGAAGCCCCACCCATCTGTCTCGATCTGAATCGTGATGAATTTTTCATTCGTTGTCAGACCGAGGGGCGGAGCGTAATTGCAAAATCGATATTTACTTATACAAATTTAGCATTTTAAACATGTTTTTAAGTTTCTTGTTCTGAAAACAAAGCTGCGTATATTAAGAAAAAAAAGTAAAATGCTTATTGTTGTGATTATATATTTATTTTACCGAGTTACTTGCAAAATTAAGTAAAAGAACACTGCATTCATATGATTTGTGTCTTACAGTTTATTATTTCTGACTAAAAATAGTTGATCAAATAAAAAAACTTGTTCAGTTTAAATAAATTAGTGAAAATGTTCAACAGTGCTTTTCATTTGTGGAACTAAAATTTAAAGGGAAAGATTCTTATCAGGATAAAAGACATACAGTCTCAGATAAAACGTAGTGACCTTAGACCGTGCCTTAGACTTTAGGCCTAGTTCACACTTAATTTGTCAAAATTTTGAACTTTAACCACTACATTTAAATGTCCAAATATAATGACAAAAGTGACAGTTCCAAATTATAATCTAAATTTAAAGTTTCAACATTCACTTGACATAAACGAATGAATAACGTAATTGAATAAAATAAAAAAAATAATTAAAAAAAAAATAAAGTCGAATTTTTTTCTGTTGGCGCATTATTTATTTATTTATTTATTCGTTCACCATTTATTTACTTATTCATTTATGTATTTATTCAGTTAATTATTCATTTATTTATTTATTTATTATATTTAAATATCAAATTTTGCAAATTGTTGCTCTGTGTAATGAATTTTCCAAAGTGTGACAATTCTAAAAATGGTTTACTACTTTTTAATGAGCAATTAACAACGTGCAAAGCAAGATTTCGAATAGTGTCAATTTCACAATAGGTGGTATTTTCTCAAATCAATTTGTAATATTGCTTCAATAAAAACCCTATGACATAAATTACCTATAAGTTGTCCCAACATTGTGCTTTTTTTCATTTTTGTTGTTCGGTATCTTTGTAAAAAGATATTTAATTCACATGTAATATATGTTGAAATTCATATATAAATTTATAAGTATAAAATATAATAATATGCAGGCTGTTATTGAAAGGTACGTACAACAAAATTGACAGTTATTCGCGAAGTCTAAGAAGTCTGAAACACTTATTTTGTGTTATCAAAATTATAAGGGGAAAATTAACCCTTATCCAACCTTTTTAGACGCTACTGAAGGATAAATAGGTAAAATAAATTTATTTTAGTAAATCTTAGCAACTGTAACAATAAAACTTTTGTCAAGACTAATAAATGTTGCTATAGAAACGAAAGATGATCTTTTTATCAGAGGCGTACAATGAATTTGGACATAAATTTTAAAAATTTTTATCTCTAAAAGGAGATCACTCTTACCTGAACTTTTTTTACTTTTAGCACTCATACTTTGAGACCAATTGCCGATTTTATTTTGTACATACCTTTCAATAACTCGCTGTATAAATATTTGTAATATATAATCAACATTACTATTCTATCAATCTTGTATAAATATTAGAAAAATATTGCCTGCTACTGGGGTACTTTTATTTTTCAATTTCCATTTTACACTAAATAAAATAAGTCACTGAAGTGGAGAACGGAGATGGGCGCGGCCATGATACAAGTAAATATGGTATGGACATACGCAGGTTTGCTGACGTCACCTGGCTGTATTCAGGCGGGAAATTGAAATATTTACCGAGCCCAACTAAAGTCACTAGATCTACTATTACTTTTAGAAAGTACGGCAAACTGCCTGTGGTCGGAATTCGACAGAGAGGAACCTAACCTATGTGTTAAACAAAGATAGCGCGAGGCTAGTAATTTTCGCTATCTGTCAACGAAAGGTTGATGTGTTTACGATTTGAGGTTACGACAGACTGTACTAGAATTATTGAGTTAACGGACCGGAAAGAACACTATTCCAGTCCCAAAGTAACTCCAGCCCTATTCAACGAGAAAGTGTGACCGGTAACCAGCAAACAGTCGTGGAAGACGTGTTACCACCAAGGCAATTGACGGCCAAATGACAGTAACAGGATCGCCATACTGGTTAATAGTTGTGTATTAAATTATTGGTTTGTACTTACCAAATGTACGAGATTCTTTGTACAATTATTATTACTATTCACAATCAGTGTAAAAACAATTTGCAATGTTTCACAATTTTTATTCTGCAGAGTATCTTCGGCTGAAATATACATATTTTCTTATTATTTGCTATCATCCCCGCTATTTTTTTAACAACGCTAGGTCGCTAGCAAACCACCAATTTGTTTTTTCGCCTCCTGACATGTAAACAAAACATTCATACACCTTTGACATGCCGCGTAACAATGACTTTACGCACCAAATATCAATTTACCGTTGCTTTACCGCCTTTGGGTGCCAAAGTAATTCAATATGCATTAGCCTCTAGAAGCTGTAATAAAAAAAGTTCTGTATATATAATAAAAGAAAACATACTAGAATACTACTTTACATCATGTTTTGTTCGATCAAAACTTTTGAAATAGAAAAAATGAATTATTTAAAAAAAAAATCACATGGCGCCATCTCGTGGCTGTCGGTATTATAGATTCCTTCAGTAAACGTCAAGTCTAGAAAGTCACTTCATTTATTTCCATTTCGAAAATTATTTTTAAAAACAAATATTTTTTAAAATAAAATCAATGTCGGCGAAAAAATTGAATACAATTTTCGTGCGTTAGGCATTTTGCAGGTTTCGGTCCCATGCCACCCTCCGCTTCGCGTCGGGTGGCAAATTAGGACCTCAACCTGCAAAATGTTACCTACCGCACTCATAATGTAAATAACTATTTACGCATCAGTTTGGTAACAATAAACAATAACCCTCATAACCACAAAAACTCATAACTGCCTCATAACCCTTAAAATTGATATTTGACATCAGATGTCAACACAGAAGTGGAAGGTCATTCATTCCACATGACGTCAGATAACGTTGCGCAGAAGAAGACGAGTTTTGGTTCATGGGATGTCCATACCATATTTACTTGTATCATGGGCGCGGCTAAATTTAGCTTTTTTCTAGTTTTATGAGCAAGCAGTAGCCCCGCCCACCCACCCCTTCTTTGTTCCAGTGACTTGTTTTAATATTGTTCAGTCCTACCTTAGCAAGTTTTAGCCTCGCCTTTTTTTTTTAGAAGATATGTTATTTACCAAAATCAATCTTATCTTGTATGTCGTTTGCCACAATCGGTTTTATCTTAACAACTAACTAGGTTTTTATTGAGAAAAAAAAGATACTTAGTTAATGTTTGATTGTCTGTTTATTTATAAGGTGTTATCACCCGTTATTGATTGTTACACAGTTTTTCAAATGTTTTATCTACATGTCCCTAATGGTTGCGGTAGATCTTTCCATCTTTTAATTATTTCATTTCATCTGCCTCAATACTTAAAAAAAATCGTTTAATTCAAAAATTGTTTAAATTATATCTTCCTGTGTTATAATTGGTTACCATGAACCGTCAATAAATGAAATGAATGAATATTTTTCTTTTGTTAATATGTGTAGTTTTAACTGTATGTAGTTTTATTTTTAAGAATGTGAATAGACCTCAATGCTCTTCCATTGGTATGTAAATATATTTTTATACTTTCTAGAAATTCTTTGATTTTCTTTTTTGTGTCTACACAATTCTGTTCTGAAGAAAGATCTATGAAGTTTACCCAGCAGTGAGGGCTAGAGTGAGGTCTATTAGACTTCTGCGCCTCCTTACTGCGGGTTTCCATAATCTCTAAACACTCAGATAGAATAAACAGGACAAGAAGAAAAATTTCTTGGTTTGATTATAACAAATTTTGAATTTGAAACGAAAACTTTTTGGGACAATATTTTAAACCAAACAGTAGAGTGATTTTTTAATCTTTATTTATTTAATAAATTTATTATGGGTAGATTTTAGGTGGGAAGTAGTCAAGTAGTATTTTTTATTAAACAGATCAACCTGATCCAATTTTTTTGTCAGTATGGGGATGGTGCTTTTTTACGATATTTCTTTGTCACTTTTTTTGGTTGATTCTGAATGAATTGTTTTCATGGGCTTAGAACTTGAAAAAAGCTGCATTAAATACATCTATAAAAATTAATATCATTTTATCATGGAAAAAAAAAGAGTTGTAGGTTCCTCCACTGCCCTCAGCAAGAGTGTGACGCAAGTCATTGGTATATAAGAAAGTCTGGTTTTGCCAACAGAAGAAATTTTAACATACTTCGTTTCAAATGTAATAACAAAATATTGTATAATAATCAGTAATAAAAATATAATCATCTTTACAATGCAGCCCAAAATAGCGCAATAAATACGCTCGGTAATCTGTTGCTGTCTCATAATTTGGTATCGTGAATGGTCGGGCCCCCGATGCGCCCACGCAGTCGCCGCCCATGAGCTCAAACCTGACCCGCTCGAGCAACGGTGACGACACCACATGACGTTTCGCTTCTCCGAAATCGGGGATATTCGCGTTCGGCGAGTGTCAAGTTGGCGACCCTGCGTGAACCTAATAAAAAAACGAATCAGCTGAATGCTGAATAGCGAGCAAAAGAAACTTTCTCTTCGTTTTCCTCGACGTTGACAATGGCGATGTGAAGTTCGCGTGCCCTAAAACATCCCGATCCGCGTCCGATGCGAAAAGACAATCGAGGTCCGAGATTTTCCGCCAATTGAAATCCGTCTCGTGTGATTGACTTTCGCCAGTGTGATCGCTTTTTTGCCGTCTCCGAACCCCAAAAACAGAACAAGTATCGTTGTTTAGTGTTATTGTTAAAGATGAGTGCTTGTTGCTACAAAAAGAACGACTCGACGCCGGAAAAAGCGACCTTTTCCCAGCTCCGCTTCGAGTGATCGCGATTGCCGAATTTGGTGCGTGGTGTTGTGGTCAAGACACGAAAATGTCAGCGATGAAGAACTCCTCTCTCAACAAGAAGGAAGGCAAAATGAGGATCCGAGCCTTCCCTGTAAGTCTGCAGATACCCAAGTGCATTGTCCTCTACAAATGTCAAACCGATATACCTCGCGCGATAATTATCGTCAATGACCGTCCAAAATCAGAATTGAATAACACTTATCGTCACAATATGCACGTTCACCGCCGAATTTCCATAAACAGCCGCCGCTTTTTCGAAATTCCCACATTTCGTCATTTTGTTTGGACGCCGTCACAGCCACCTTGTTGTGGATCTGTCATCCGAGCGAAAACAACAAAGGCCGTTTGGGGCCATTTTTGGATGCCCACGACCCGACCCATTCTCCCTTTAACGAGCTATTTCGTCATGTTTCCTCCCCCACGCGCTCTTTCCAGACGAACAAAATCAAAAACCATCACACATTGTCATACTTGTCATTTCTTTTCACTTTTCTTTCATAACCACTTTTGAATTTTCGCAAAATTTATGTGTTTAACGTGCTAAATATGAAAAACGACCATTTTTGCGAGCAGAATGTCCCCCCTGGAGATATAACGTTCACGACAGTATTTGTGTGGTTCTGTTTTGATTTTTCAAACAATGGGGTTTGTTGTTGTAGATGACTATGGATGAGAAATTTGTGGAGAGCATATGGGCCCTCCTCAAGAATGCCATTCAAGAAATACAGAAAAAGAATAATTCGGGATTAAGTTTCGAGGAGTTGTATAGGAATGCCTACACTATGGTATTACATAAACATGGAGAGAAGTTGTACACAGGGCTCAAGGAGGTTGTTACTCATCATTTAGAATCAAAGGTAAGCTGAAACTTTATTTATTGAATCACTGCAAGTTGGAATATTTTTAAACTCTTGACAAGGTCAGGTCGCTTTAGGGTAATTTGTGATCGACTCGTTTTTAAAACACACCTAAAATAAATTTTTCTAATAAAACATCACATAATTGTTCGTCCATAAATGCGTCCACCAATTTCATGTGAAACTATAAGAGAAAACTATTTTATTCCAACTTATGTATACATTGATTAGTGCTTAATTTTAGGAGCGTTTAAATGCTTTAACAAAAGCAATAACTTTTATTTGAAATTACAATTAATTGCTGTTTCGTTCGTGAAATCATTTCAGCTGATTTTAAATCCGGGATTTATTTAAATCCTTAATAGCGAGTTGTGTAATGTTAGACATGTTAAACAAGAAACGCAGCTCATTTTTGAAAACGATACGTCAAGCTTTTTCAAAAAATGCCAGTAATCTGTCTGACCCTTTTCTTGTGAAGATTATTTTCAAAAATAACAGTTGATCTTGTTAGTTTTAAATTTTAGATGCAGCTTTATTATTAGTCGAGTATCTCTTCCATCAGAGGTTTCTTGTAAACAAAACTCAACGGCTGCTTCTAGTAGGCGAATGGAATATTTAATTCGAATTCAAACCTAATCTGCGATTAATCCGTGAATCTGAGGTTCTGATTGGTTGAATTTGATCATGTGGCTGCTTCCTTTAGCGATTAAATTAATGACGTGATTAAATGGTTATATAAACCGGGTTTAAAGCCTTTTCGAAAACTTTAATTTAAAGAAATGTTTCTGAAATAAAAAAAAAATTACTTACCTCTGTTTCGTTGTAAGTCAGCTAGTACTCGCTAATTTTTTTTGAGTGACCACCTTTAATGGACATTTTATGTTTGTGCTAACTAGTTTCTAAAGTGACACTTTAATGACAATGATGCTTAAAGATTTCGTCTTGGATAAGATTTATTTTCATTCATTTTCAACATAAACAACTACATATTCGCAAATGTTTGTTGTTGCATTTTGATTTTAGAATGATATTCTCTACTAAAATTAAATAATTTCTTATTATTTTTCTAAACAAAATAACTCCTGATTTGTTCCCTCTGTTTCGTTTCAAAAGTGCTAAGCTCTGGAAAATCCGTTGGCAGTAACTTTTTATGTTGTTTTATGTTTGAAATTTGGGAATTTAGTTTTTTTGAAGTTTATTGTTTGTTATTCTGGAAAATGCAGTCAATTTTATTATTTTTAATAGATTTTTTGGTGAGAATATGCATCTGGAAACTATACCCTACTCCAACTTCTCAATTCTCAAACATGTACTATCTGTGCCAAAGAACTAAATTTATTATTTCTTAAAATTTATAAACTAATTTATTTTCTTGACAAATCATTTTAGTATGACAATTCTGATGTCACGTATGTAAGGGCAAAATGTCTATCTTTTTCGGTTTTTCTTTACATCCATATACCGGGTGTCTGGAAAATGTTGGATTAACTTTTCGCTACGCTTTTAACAATTAACTGCTGAGTTGGGAAAATAGTAAAAAAATTCCTTCTCACATTTTGGTGGAGTTATAATCTCATTTGCCAAAGTCAGTTTTATCTTATCACTAGAGAGCGGATTTTATGAAATTTGCATATCCTTTATTTTTTGCATATAAGTCTTGATATTTAATATGTGAACGAATCATGCTAATTAAAAATGAATACAGCTATAAAAAAATTGCATATTAGCATATATTTGCCTTCTGCTGCATATTTCACGTAACGGGTGCATATTTTGCATTTTTATCGATTTTTGTGCTAATTTGAAAAAAAAATTATTGTCATTCAATTGGCATTTATCTAGAAAGACGAAATTTCATTAATCATATTGCAAATATTGTCCTGAGTTTCAAATAACTAGGAAAGGTCTGGGTTTTATGGTAGTTTGGAGAAACCACTGGGTGTTAAGCCAACCTTCCAGGTAAATTCGGGCCCTAATTACTTTTGGAAATACCGTTCATTTCAATATTTTTGTTCGTTATTTAAGTGTTTTAATGGTATGTTGTATGGTAGTCGAAGGGACGTTATCCTATTATTTTTCATTTTGAGTGTGCATTGAAAGCATTTAGAGCGATACAGGTGTGTCAATATGTCGAAGATAACTCAAATTAATTTATGGATTAAACCTTTTCCTGATCTTATTCTTCAAGAAGGAACTGTATTTTGTCGCGCCTGCTCTAAACCGAAGTATTTTTATATCTGTGGATGTAGTTTTTCTATTTCCAAATACATACTTTAGAATCACCGGAAAAACTTTTTGTTAGAATATTTCGAAAAATATTTAGAAATAAATTGTTGCCAAAATAGTAATTAAATAGTCGATTACTACTATTTTTAAATTCGTTCTGTTTACCTATATTTATATTTTAGTATAAAAATTTTATCTTTAAAAATGTGATATATGTGCCAGTGAGATCTAATTAAACACTTTACAATATGATTTATGTATTTTTTTTTAATAAAAGGTAATCACGAGAAACCTGTAATTTGTAATTTGTAAATAAATTTAGTTCGGTTATTACGCTTTTTTATAATTTTTGGAGCATATGCAACTGCATATCTCTGCATATATTAAGAAATTTACTGCATATTTGCATAAATTTGATGCATATCATATGATCATATTTCCCAAAATTTTGCTGCATATTTTCCGCTCTCTACTTATCACCTACTAACCCCACCCACCCGCCCTCTCTTTTCTTCAAGGGTATCTCATTTGCCAAAATCACTCTTATCTTAGCAACCATTCGACCGCCCACCCACCGCTCTTTTCTTAGAGAGTATGTCATTTGCCAAAATCAGTCTTATCTTAACAACTATAACAACCACTAATGACTACTGGCTGTTATAGTTATTCTCTTAAAAAAAATAAAAGGTATATATTTATTTTCGTTATTTTTTCACCGATTCGATTTTTCAGTGGTGGGCGGGCCTAGTACATGCTAAGATAAAACTAATTTTGGCAAATCATATACCCTCTAAGAAATTAGAGGGTGCGTGGGCGGGGCTAGTACTTGGGGCCCCTCCCACCCACCCTTATTCCGTTTTCATCATTCATTCTTATTGGCTGTGAAGAAAGAATTTCACCAGTTTTCAATTTTAAAATTATAAAATCGTAAGAAATATTGAAAAAATAAAGGAAAAATTGTGATATGAAATCACTAAAATGAAATTAAAAAAATCGAGAATATGAAAAACAAAAATCACAACTTCAAAAACTGAGGAAACAAAAAATTGAAAAATCGAAAAATTAAAAACGAGAAAGTGAAAAATCGAAAAATGAAAAATTGTAAAATTGAAAAATTGAGAAACTGAAAATGAAAGAAAATGAAAAAAACGACGCTTTTAACAATTAACTGGTGAGTCTGGGAAAAATAGTAAAAAAATTCCTTCTCACATTTTGGTGGAGTTATAATCTCATTTGCCAAAATCAGTTTTTTCTTAGCACCTACTAACCCCACCCACCCGCCCTCTCTTTTCCTAGAGAGTATGTCATCTGCCAAAATCACTCTGATCTTAGAAGGTACTAGCCCCGCCCACCCGCCCTCTCTTTTCTTCAAGGGTATCTCATTTGAAAAAATCAGTCTTATCTTAACAACTACTCGCCCGCCCACCCACCGCTCTTTTCTTAGAGAGTATGTCATTTACCAAAATCAGTTTTATCTTAGCAGGCACTAACTCCACCCATCCGCCCTCTATTTTCTTAGAGGGATCTCATTTGCCAAAATCACTCTTATCTTAGCAGCTACTAGCCCCGCCCACCCACCCTCTCTTTTCTTAGAGGGTATGTCATTGCCAAAATCAATTTTATCTTAGCAAGTACTGACGACTAAATTTTACAAAAAATGATCAAAATTTGGAAACATTACGAATTTACTTATATGCATAAGGCAGGAATTTTGAACATCTTCTCTAGTGTTTAGTTGGATATGCTTTCAGGAATTTTCTTTTGTTGATTTTGTTTTTGTTTGTAATTCATAGATGTCTTATTAAATGTTATTAATAATAAAAAAAGTGGATTTCAGCCACCATCGTTACTAAGAAATCAGAAAGCAACCCGAAGGTAATCACGGATTAGGTGTGTGCCGTGTTGCCAATTTTACTTTTATAAGATTACGTTTTTTTTTTGTAATCTACATCATAATTATTTTTTTTATTTTTTTTTTTTGGAAGTCCCGAAACCTCCGTAAATAACGTACTGAAGAGTTAATCCGCCATTTTCCAGACACTCGGTATATCTAAGTGTTCTTGGATTGTGTTTTTATTTTTTTTAGTATTTCCTTCACTGTTTTTTCTCTATGCTATTTTTAGATTAACCCTAGATAAAACTCCACGCCGTGTATTTTCAGAATGAATAGAAATATAAGAAATTTTGTAAACTCCATTGTTTTTAGTTTGTTTAGTATATGCAAATATGATGCATATATGGCGTCGGCGTCGCGACACAAATTGATATTTTTTTAACTTTTGTAGGGATTTTTATAAACCATCAAATGGCGATTGCAAGGATCTATATCAAATACTCATGTCTACGTGGTGTATTGTTTGTAAATAATATAAATTATCTAAAGAAGAAATAATATAAATACAGTTAGCATAAATTTACGTACAATTGCTCTTAATTTTTAACATTTATGATGAAAATTGGATGGGAGACCTACTCGGTGTCCAGATTTAACGTCCCTTAGATTTCATTTTATGGCGATACATAAACGATTTAATGTTTGTTGATTATGTTTAACCAAGTTGAAGTTTTGTGCCCAATGTGACGGATGACAGCTCGAATGTATGTTTAATGATCTTTGTATACAGGGTGTCTTTTTAGTTGATATTGATTATTTCCTTTGAGGTTTCATAAAAGGTAATGTTTACTTTGATGAGTGGAGGGACAAAGATCTCTCACATTTTTGAAAGTTTGTTGTGAAAACTTTAATTTTTAGCTTGTTTTGCTAGTTCGGACGT